TGGTAATAGTTCGGCCCATACCTGTAATCTCAAAGAAGTCCAAGTTAAATTAGCTCGTTGCAAGGAACAGTTAGCAAAGTGCTTTAATAAACTGAATTGTCGCGTTAGGATTCCACCTGATAGCTTATCGCTAATTTGCCAATCAGACTTAGCTGACTCTGAGTCAGAAGAAGAATTTAGTGACGCCAAGTCAGAAGTTTCGGTACAATTCAGTCTTAAAAGAAGTACTTCACTTCCATCCTTTAAAGATCTGCTAACAGTATCCGACGAGCCGTCAACAGCTACCAGTTTACCAAATATTTCTAAATTTTTTCAAGAATTTTTAGACATGGCTACCCCTGAACAGAAAAAATCGTTTATTAGTCTTTGTGGCTCAATCATTAGGGAAAATTACAACGGAGATCCGCTAGCACTTGAATCGTTTATAGACAAAATTAATTTAATTGAAGATTTTGCAGATGAAAACTTAAATACGACTTTTATATCATTTTTGAAATCGAAACTCGAAGGCAAGGCACGTGAAGCAATTCCAACAGAAGTTAGTTCAGTTAGGCAAATAAAAGATGCGTTGAGAAATAGAATAAAGCCAGACAACTCGAAAGTTGTAGCTGGGAAAATTGCATCTTTACATGTCATAAACAACAATTATACGGAATTTGCTAAGCGTGTCGAGGAGCTTTCGGATGCTTTAGAGCGCTCTTTGATCATTGAAGGTATGACACAGTCTAAGGCTCATGAAATGGCAGTCAATCAAACAGTTAACGTTTGTAGACTTAATACTCGGTCGGATTTGGTCAAATCAATTTTATCGTCAACTACCTTCAGTGATTCAAAGGACGTAGTGGCAAAAATGATAGTCGAACAAAATAATCAAGTGAAAGAGTGCCAAGTGTTAGCGTTTCGATCCCGAGTAAATAGGCCAAATAGCTTTAGAGGTAGTTTCGGAGGGCACAATTTTAATAGGTACAACAATAACAATTTCAGACAAAACAACTCAAATTTCAATAGGTACAACAATAACGCTGATAACAGTAGGTACAGCAATAACGGTTCAAGGCATAACGGTAACAATTTCAACAATAATAGTAATCGGTCATCAAACAACAATCGAAACAATAACAGCAACAATAATAGTAATAGACGTCCAAATTCACGCAGTAATGCTAATGTGCGCGCTTTAAACGCCCACGCCCCTCAGGAGCGAACACTGAGGGCGGAAGAAATGGACAACTAAATACTTCTTTGTCAACAAAAGGCGTATACTGTCTAAATCTAAATTACTCTGATTTTATTGAATTGCGAATTAATGGTTCAAACAAATTTTGTACATTTTTAGTCGACACGTAAGCCGACATTTCTTTAATAAAAATTTCTAGCATTGAAAAACATTTTTCTATAAATACGAACGATATAATTAACATTACGGGCGTCACTTCAAACACCGTTTCAACTCTAGGTAAAATTACGACGAATTTGACTTTTTCGGACTGTTTTACAAAACATACGTTACATGTGGTTAATGACGATTTCAACATCCCTGCAGACGGTATATTGGGTAAAGACTTTTTGAAAGTAAATAAATGCGTTATCAGCTATGCAAGCAATTGCATTTCCTTCTGGGTAGGTAATAAAAAAGTCGCGATTCCGATTCTTCACGGAACCGAAAGCGATACCTGCGTAATTCCACCCAGATGCGAAGTTTTTCGTCTTTTTAATTTAGGAAGTTCACCAGAACCACTTTTCGTGAATTCACAAGAAATCGATAACGGTGTATTCACGGCAAGATGCATCGTTAGTACAAGCAACCCAATAGTCAAAATCATAAATACCACAGATGACGTGAAACATGTAAAGAATGTAAACATTCAGACTGAAAAGCTTTCTGACTATAACGTTTACTCAATTAATAAGACCAAGACAGAAGAATTAAGAACGAACGAATTAACAAATATTTTGAAAAACCAATTCTCCACAGAAGCTAACAGCAATTTACTTGACCTTTGCATCAAATATGCCGACATTTTCGCGCTTGACAATGACAAAATGAAATTAAACAATTTTTATGAACAGAAACTTAGGTTGACTGACACTGACCCGGTATATGTAAAAAACTATCGTCTACCATACTCCCAACGTGAAGAGATAACTCGCCAAGTTAATAAATTATTAGGTAACGATTTAATTGAAGGAAGTTATTCCAATTACAATAGTCCTCTAATCTTGGTTCCTAAAAAATCTACTAATGGTCAAAAAGCTTATCGTATGTGCGTTGATTTCCGCGCAGTCAATAAAAAACTTATTGCGGATAAATTTCCTCTCGCACGAGTTGACGATATTTTGGACAATCTTTGCAGAGCTAAATATTTTTCTACTTTAGATCTTTTTTCTTGATTTAACCAAATCCCCTTGCATGAAGATTCACGTGAACTTCTTTTAGCACAGACCGTGGAGCATATCGATGGAAAGTATTGCCATTCGGTTTAAGTATAGCACCCAACTCATTCTCACGAATGATGAGTATAGCTTTTTCTGGTATTCCACCGAACGTAGCATTTTTATATGTAGATGACATTATTGTCATAGGCTGTAGCGAAGCACATCACATTAAAAATTTAGCGAAAATTTTCGAAACTTGTCGAAATTTCAATTTAAAACTAAATAAAAAAAAATGCAATTTTCTCAGGCCCGAAGTAACGTTTTTAGGGCACAAATGCTCAGCAAAAGGTCTGCTGCCAGACGATTCAAAAATAGTTGCAATTAAAAAGTATACTAAACCTACTGACAAAGATGCAGTACGACGTTTTGTCGCATTTGCAAACTATTACCGAAGATTTATCCCCAATTTTGCAACTCTGGCAGCACCTTTGAATAAATTAAGTAGGAAAAGAGTAGATTTTGTTTGGGATGAGAAATGTGATGAAGCTTTTCAAGCGTTACGATCAGCCTTAATGTCACCGAAATTGCTACAATATCCAGACTTTACAAAGCAATTTATTATTACAGTTGACGCTTAAAAAATAGGGTGTGGCGCTATACTTAGCCAAGAACAGCAAGGTTGCGATTTACCAATATGTTTTGCCTCAAAATCATTTAACAATGCAGAACAGAAAAAACCAATTATCGAATTAGAACTTCTAGCAATATATTTTGCCATTAAACAATTTCGACCATACGTTTATGGAACACATTTCTTAGTAAAATCAGACCACAGACCATTCGTATACCTGTTCAATATGAAAGACCCCTCTTCAAAACTTTCAAGAATAAGGTTAGAACTAGCGGAATACAATTTTACTATCGAATACATTAAAGGAAAATTAAACGTAGGCGCAGACGCACTCTCACGTATAACGATAGACGAAATAAGGGAGTCAACGAAAAGTATCTTGGCAGTACAGACGAGATCAATGACTAGACGAGACAATGATAAAATGATCCAAAATACAGATAATAACGAAGATGAAAAACAGGAGATATTAAACGTTTATGATACATTTTCTTATAACTTTTCAAAAAAGTTACCGCGTATTAGATCAGAAATTACTTATGATAAAGATGATAAAATTATAATTTTACGAATTTGTGCACATAATAAACATAAAAAACTCGAGTTACTTAATTATGCATTTGCTAACGAAATAATGAATTTAGATGATTTACTTTCGAGGCTTGAAATTGAAGCCAGCAAATGCAAAATTAAGAAGATTGAATGGCCAAAGGACGATGAATTTTTCCGTCACTTCACAATTGCTAGCTTAAAAAATCGCGGAAATAAAATTTTAAATACATTACATATTATATTAACAGATCCTGTCGAAACTGTGACCGACAACGAAAAGAAACAGCAACTTATGACAATCTACCATAACGACCCAATAAGTGGAGGACATTGCGGACTCAAAAGATTGTATGCAAAAATTCGTACTAAATACTTCTGGAAAAATATGACCCGTGACATATCAAAATTCGTAAAAAGTTGCGAGAAATGTTTACTGAACAAAGTAAAGCCTAAAAACAAAGAAAATCTGGTGTTAACGCCAACACCTAGTAAACCTTTTGAAGAAGTAATTATTGACACTATAGGCCCCTTGCCAGAAACGCGATATGGTAACAAGTTCGCTGTCACCATAATCTGCGATCTAACAAAATATCTAGTAACTATCGCGATACCAGACAAAAGTGCAAAAACTGTGGCTTCAGCTATTTTCGAAAGCTACATATTAATATATGGCACAATGAATTCTATTAGGACTGATTTAGGAACAGAATATAAGAATGAAATTTTTTCAGAACTTACAAAACTTTTAAATATAAACCATAACTTTTCAACAGCACACCCCCACGAAACCGTTGGTACAATTGAACGAAACCATAGAGTTTTTAACGAATATTTACGCGCTTATATGAGCGAAACATTTTCTGACTGGGACACTTATTTGAAATATTTCACGTTTTTACATAATACAACGCCTAATACTGTTTTTGATAACCAATTTACTCATTTCGAACTAGTTTTCGGCAAGAAAGCAACTTTACCGCACGAGTTGCGAAACGGAAAGATAGACCCGATATATAACGTTGAAAACTATGCGAAAGAGGTTAAATACCGTATGCAAAAATCAAATGCAATAGCCAAAGAAGCGATAGACACTCTCGTCCAGTACAAATAAAAGAACACGATCTTGTTCTAATACAAAAAGAGCCCAGAGTCAAACACGAAAGCATATATCAAGGGCCACACGTTGTACAAAAAGTAGAAGGAGCAAATGTTACGGTTTTCGACAAAACCAAAAATAAATTAAAAACGGTTCACAAAAACCGCATTCAAAAAGTCACATAATCTATTTTTTAATGAATTTATTTAAAAATGCAAGTAACATTCAAATTTGACACAAAATAAATCAGCCACGTCACACAAGATATATATACAAACTATTATTATTGTTAAAATTACGTTCTATAGTTAGTTAAAATATGTACATGTGTACAACAATGCGAAATAACTCATGAATTGTCATGTAAACCTATTTTGAAACAAAAATCTTTTATTTGAAATGAATAATACTCAAAAATAATATTTAGATGTATGTATACCTTCAAATTTTGGCTTAATAAACTATACACATAAGTACTTTCATATAGCATTAATTTAACACAATTCAACAAAATTGAATCTCTATTAATTTTTATACATATAGCTATGTAAATTCATATTTACAAATTTACAAATTCATATATTGGATACGTTTAGCAAATCAAAAAAAATAAATATTATTTAACTCATACTTATGTAAAATCCTTATTATAAAATTAATATTTTAACTTAACGCAATTAGCTAAGTAAATATACTAATGTTATCAATTATTTAACATTCGTTTTGAACTCTTTATTGATATGGACGAACGAGTTAAAAGGGGAAGGAAACATACTTACAATATTAATAATAAATATCTCGTTCCTCCCTATCGGTTTTGCATCGCCCATGAATCGAACGATTTTGGCAAGCCTGATCACCTTGCAAAAATCTTTTCTCAAGGAGGGTGATGTAATGGCATCGCTAACAATACGGCAGCACTATTCAGCGCCGTCGTAATGTTGGTAGCCCTGTTGGAACATACGTTCCACAGGTACTTAAAACCGAGTGAAAAAACGAATGCTAATTCAATTAGACAAACGACTTCAAACCCATCGGTAGTGTAATTTTCCTGAGTCTTTAAATAAAAGTAATATTGTTCTTCAAGTGTTCTTAATTTTCTTAAATTCGCAAGTAGTTGACGGGCGTGAATAATTGGCAAATTTTTCTATAAATACAAATTTGCGGAACCCATAAGAGTTCGGCCAATCTGCCACGAGGGCATAATAATTGGGCATAATTTACTGGTGTCGGCAACCTAGCAGCGGATTTGTCTCCAGGACGATTTGGGGTAAGCGAGTGGTTTTTTGGCACGTGTGTGCAAAGTTCCAATGAGCGGGCTGCAGGCCCAACATGGCGACCGTGACAGCGTGTGTGAGCATACGCGTGTGGGGAAAAATTGCTTTGATGACAGCCTGGACGGCAGGCGAGTCCGAAAAGCCCCATTTTGTGCGACACACTACGGTGGATGGACAAAATTATATATCAGTCGACCGTCACGGGCGGCAGTATTGCATAAGCCGTGTAACGCCACACAAAACGGCGCGCTGCATCTACGTAAGCTGTTTTTTCCCGCATAATGGGAAGCCCTGCAACCACC